CCACAACCCAAAATAGGATAATTTGAACATAAGGATATAATTTTAATGAACTGAAATATTTCAAATATGTTTAAGTATACACTGAGTGGCCAGATTATTATGACCACCTGACGTTTGTAGGCAAATTAGCTATATTTCGCGCTGAAGTTGCTAGAGGGCCAGACCATTATAAATAGGGAAGCAGGTTGTTTACCATGACAGTAGAAGTGATATTTTTCTGAAGGTATGGGTAAACAATGTGATTTAACAGCCATAGAACATGGCTGTTAAATATATATATATATATATATATATATATATATATATATATATATAGTGTCATATGTTAAATATATATATATATATATCCTATCTAATAATAGACAAATAGGGTAATTAATGTACCTCTGCTACGCTTCCCATTGGCTAATCAGGGCAATATGCAAATTAACTGCCAACCAAGATGGTGGCTGGCAGCCACACAGCTGAAGCAAGCAGGAGGCTTGCTTGCTCCAGTGAAGGAGGAAGCCAAGGTTCCCACCTGCCGTGGCCCGGCTCTGAGCTCCTGAAGCAACAGCTCCAAAAGCAACAATGTTTCAATTATAGAAGCTACACAAAACCCAGATACCTTCTTTCAGCCAGCTGGTCCTCAGAGCTGGAGCCGGCTCTCAGCTCCAGTGACAGATATAGAAGATAAATAAATCCCAGAATAAAAAGAAAAAGAAAAAGGAGAGGCTGGGAGCTTCAGTCGCCCCACAGCCTGAAAACAGCCCTCAGCCCCTCATCCAGGCTGGCCAGGCACCCCAGTGGGGACCCCCACCATGAAGGGGGTGTGACCAGCTGCAAACAGCCATCAGCCCCTCACCCAGGCTGGTCAGGCACCCAAGCAGGACCCCCACTGTGATCTGGGACACCCTTCAGGGCAAACCAGCCGGCCCCCACCTGTGCACCAGGCCTCTATCCTATATAGTAAAAGGGTAATATACAAACTGACCCTAACAACAGAAAGACTGGGAATGACTGGTCACTATGACACACACTGACCACCAGGGGTCAGACACTCAATGCAGGAGCTGCCCTCTGGTGGTCAGTGCGCTCTCACATGGGGGAGCTCTGCTCAGCCACAAGCCAGGCTGATGGCTGCCAGTACAGCGGTGGTGGTGGGAGCGTCTCCTGCCTCCTCAGCAGTGCTAAGGATGCCCGATTGAAGCTTAGGTCTGCTCCCCACTGGCAAGTGGACATCCCTGAAGGGCTGCCAGGCTACCAGAGGGATGTTTGATTGCCATCTTAGGCCCAATCCCCCCAGGGAGCAGAACTAAGCCAGAAAGTGGTCATCCTCTGAGGGGTCCCAGACTGCGAGAGGGCACAGGCCAGGCTGAGGGAACCCCGCCCCCGAGTGCACAAATTTTTGTGCACCGGGATATATATATATATATATATATATATATGTATATGTATATATATCCCACGTTCAAAGGCTGTTAAATTGTGTTGTTTACCCATATTGCATTGTTCTGGGGTAGTGGAGACCAAATATTTCCAAAGCCCCTTAAGAATGGTCACTTCTGTTGTGGTAAACAACCTGCTTCCCTATTTATAATGGTCTGGCCCTCTAGCAACTTCAGTGTGAAATTATAGCTAATTTGCCTACAAATGTCAGGTGGTCATAATCTGGCCACTCAGTATATAAGTCAATATGTAAATATTAGTAATAATAAACTTACTGGTCACTTTTGAATGATGTTAGGGAAGCAATATCTTAAAATTGATAAAGAAAAAGGATTGGTGCCATCTCTCTCTTGGTAACCAAATGGCTAATGAAGGCAAGTTTCTCTTTATAAAACATATCAGCAAATAAAGGAAAAAGAAGTTACGAAATAGCACTATTTTGCAACCTCCAATGAATTATTGGACCTAGGCAATGATCATTAAAGACAACTAACATAAAAAGAGAAACCCGGACAGTATTCCTCCTGATAGAAGTATTACCCAATGATCCAATGGTCTTGGAAAACAAACTTGAAGCTAATAAAACTTCAGTATAGAAATATCAACATAAAGAAAATATCCTAGTTACAATCAGAAAAACCTAGATTGAGAAAATTCTGTAGAACAAATGAACTTTTGTGTGTGTGTGTGTGTATGTGAGAGAGTGTTTTTTTGTTTGTTTATTTGTTTGTTTGTTTTAATAATAGAGCAAGAGAGAGGGTGAGAAATTCTAGATTAAGAGAAATATAGGTGACATAATTAATTGCAATGTACAGACCTTATGCACTCCTGATTTGAAGAATGTATGGACTTTAATGTTAATCCTAATTTAAATTAACTATTCAAATTAAATATTAATGAGGTTATTGGAGAAATTTGAAAACAGACTAAATATATAACATTATTAAGGAAGTACGGTTGATTCTTATGTAGGACAATGGCATTGTGTTTATTTTTAAGAATCTTAATCTTTTAGTGATACATGCTGAAATTTTATAAGTGAAATAATATGATGTCTGACGTTTGCTTCAAAATAATTATTGGAGAGGGGAAAAGTGAGTACTGGTATAGATAAAACAAGGTTGGCCATGAATTAATAGTTATCCAATCTGTGTGGTGGGTATACAGAGGTTCATTACACCATTAGTGTCTCTATAAATATGACATTTTCTTTCATTAAAAGGTTAAAAATACTCGTTTGACATTTGTCAATGAGCATCAGGTTACTATGGGAAATACTTAGACAACAAAATCCAAACAACTATAATTAGGATATAGATTTAAATTAGAGTGGAGATAGCAGCTTTTGAGGTCATTTTGGTCAACTTTTGTCAAACAGATTTTACCAAAACCATGTATTTTGCTCATTTCTAAGCCACTAGCATAGTTGTCTTCTTTGGTCTGATTGTAGTATTTGGTGAAGCAACAAGACAGGATTAGACTTGATGAAGAAAACAGCAAGAAAGCATCAAAAAATTATTTGGGCTACTACCCCTACATTTATTTTGATAACTCTACCAACTGAATGATACCTGCAAATTAATTTTACCAGATGAGTTTTTCCCCACTATACAAACAGCTCCCCTCATCACAGGCAGTAGGAAAATGCATATCTCAAAGCTATACTCTCCCAGTTCTCGTTATACAATCCACACATTTGTGGCAGTGCTGTCTCATGGAAAGCTCACAGCAAAAGGAAATGTGATATAAACACATGGAAACATATGGCTTACTAAGTTCTTCTCTGATACTCCAAAATGGTTCGAGGGCTTATAGCCACTTGGGATACCCCAAGTGCTAACTGTGACTGACTAATCAACAACCAAAGATCTCTAATTAATTGCATTGTTCTGAGGTAGTGGAGACCAAATATTTCCAAAGCCCCTTAAGAATGGTCATATTTATGTGAAATGGTCCTACATGTGAGATTACTTACTCTTCTTATCTCTACTGCCTGTCTCCTTCAATAGCTTATGCTATACTAATTCAAATCTAACCATTGAGATTCTTCTTGGTACGTCTAACAGTATAAGGGGACAGTATTACGGCTATTTCTGTCTTAAATTTCATTAGAAGCTGTTCATTTTTAGTGCTCAGAAGTAGAAACACTAAATAGGAGATAAGATCCTATATAATAAAAGGCTAATATGCAAATCAACCAAACTGCGAAACGACTGGCCACTATGACACACACTGACCACCAGGGGGCAGTCGCTCAATGCAGGAGCTGCCACCTGGTGGTCAGTGCACTCCCACAGAGGAAGTGACACTCATCTAGAAGCCAGGCTCATAGCTGATGGCTCCCGCCACAGTGGCAGCACTAAGGGTGTCCGACTGCTGGCTTAGGCCCACCCTCCACAGGGAACAGGCTTAAGCCATCAGTCAGACATCCCCCCGAGGGCTCCCAGACTGTGAAAGGTCACAGGCTGGGCTGAGGGACCCCCACCCCCACCCCCCGAGTGCACAAATTTCATGCATTGGGACTCTAGTTTTAAAATAATTATCAACATTGAAATTATAGCCATAGACATCAGAAACTTTTGCCCTATAAGATATACCCCAATATAAGGTTATATTGATAATACAGATTTTGAGGAATCAAAATGTTACTATTGGAATTATAGCCAATGGTCAATTTATCCATGGTATTGCATGAATAAGCAAAATTCATGGTAATTTAAAACCTTAGCAATTACTTTCAGTATTTTCTTTCAGTAGTACTTTACTAGAACTACATATATGAACTAAGAGCTATTGATTTAGAATTCTACTTCTCTCCTATATACTTGCTACCCTTTTAAAGAGAGGAAAAAAAGACAGGCAATAGAGTTATGTGGGAGATGAGGGACATGAAGAGGAAATAGAGAAAACAGAAGAAGTAAGGAGTAGGGAAAAAATGAGGCGAGCAGGCCTCAAAAAAAAAAAAAAGAAGTGGAAGGCTGGTTTATAGAATGCTGCAGAAAAATGGATGCAATGAAAAGTGCAAATAGATATTTAAAAACTTGAGTGAGTAGTTTCTATACCTTATTTTTCTTCAAGAATTCACTGTTAATGATTTTAAGTAATGCATAATTTCAATCTGATATTCGGCTTAACATGTTAGATACCAAGTGATGGTGTGCCTTATTAGAGAATCAATAGCCTGTTTTTTATTTTTGTGGTCTCAGGTAAATTTTTGCCATTGCTTGCAAAGGAGTTTAAGTCCTAAAGTTCCTTAACATTTCTGTTTTGAAATGTTAAGGAACTTTTGGCTAAAATCCAATTTAATCAATAGCAAATTGAGCTAAATAAGAACAAATCGAAAGATATCCTGGGAAAGCATCCAGCATTTTTTGGAGCCTTAAGCCAATCAAATTGGAGAGAACAGAAGGTAGTGTAGGTGGAATTAATGGGACCAAGTTGCTGGCTCATCAAGTAATCATAATAGTCAAAAGCACATAACAGTCAGTTTGAAAAATCTCTCCATTCATTTGATAGCTGACAAAGGACTCAGCAAAGATTCAACACAAAGGACAATAAGGCTGCTTCTCAGAGGACTCACCTGTCTTTCCCAGTTTCCTTCTTAAAAACTCCATCACAGTAACTCATGCGCTTCTCTGTGGTGACATAAATTTGGGCACTTGGATAGATATCAACAGTCTTTTTCAACATGTTGTAAACGATGCCATTGCCATCTTTCCTCATATTGCGGAAAGGGCCCCAAATCACATAAATAGTGGTGTTTGCCTCCTTGAAAAAATAATCAGGGCTTTTTAGCAAAAGAGGAACGCTGGTATGGGATACAACTCGAATCATTGTCATGCGGCCAACATCTTCTTCGTAACCCTTGGTGGGGGCGTTGTTCATTCTCCAAATGCAGGAGGCCTGATCTATCTCATTCCCCACCTTCTGGCCGACCATCTGACCTGAGTTGGACACGATGGCACAAAGGTCGCAGTCCAGCTGCAAAGGCTGAAAAACATAAAGAGAAACAAGATGAGGGAAGAAATATAAATTAGTAAGGCCCACGTATCCAAACAAGTTTCTCTGGGAAAACAGAAAATTCAGATATGTATACCTGCTGAATGTAGGAATATCTCTGAAATATACATACCAGTACTATACTGAGCGCCCCAGGATATCAAACTAGGGCCATCCTTTCATTTAAAAAGGGAATACAAATTGTTAAGTAATAATTTTAATTTCTATCCCCTCATATTGGTTTAAAGTTAAATGGACAAATTATCATGTGTTTTCCACTCTAAATGGTGACTTTTCATTCAAAACTGTTAATTTCAAATGAAATAAGGAAATATAAAAAGATCTGATTCTTTAATAAGGATGATGGCTAAAAAGAAGGCAAAAGGGAGCTATCCAGGCATCAATTCTATCTTTTACTTATGTGCATGAATGGTTAAATAGAAGTTGATGAAAATATGAAAAATTCAGCAAATACAAGGTTCTGAAAAAGATTTTCAGAAAACTGCTTAAGTCAAGTCTCAGGTTATCAAAAATATTACAGAGATCCTTAAAAACTTCCTTTGCATCCCTGTGTTGGCTGGCTTTTGGGTTTACCTTTACTCTGGATGGGTAAGGAAAGGCTTCTTTTATGAACTCAGAGATCTCAGACTGTCCAGAGACAATCTCTAGGGCTACTCTAACAACCACCCTCCCTTTTCCTAACCAATGAGGTAACAGGGACTCATAGAGGTTAAGCACCAGCTTTCAGGACTTCAAATAAGCTAGATTGAGATAAGTGCTAAGTAAAGAAAATTAAAGCAAGGACAGGGGTTAATGCATGTGTGTGTGTGTGTGTGTGTGTGTGTGTGTGTGTGTGTGTGTGTGTGTGTTGGTAGAGTGATCAGTAAAGGCCTTAGGAGAAAAATGATATGTGATGAATAATCTGAATGAATAGGGATGGCTATAGGGATATTTTTTTTTTGGGGGGGGGTAATATGGGCTTGCTATGAAAAAGTTGAAAAATAAAAAATAAAAGAATTGATAAAAGGATGAAAGATCTTCATATTTCTTCAGTTCAACAATTGCTACAATATTTTCTTGTATTTTTCTCCTTCTAGATATATTATTGTAGGAAGGTTGAGAAATACCATTCATACAATTTGGTAACCTTGGTTTTTTATTTGATTTCATATCACTAAGCCTTTCCATGTCAATAAATAGTCCTTAGAGACATTTTTAATGCATATGCAATATTCCATTTTATGGTATACCACAATGTACCTGCTTGCCTACTGCTGGGCATTCAGTTATTATCTGATTTTTTTTCTATTATAAAAAAACATTGCTTTGATGAACATACTTGTGCTTCCCATTGGATTTTGAATGCTAACAGTTATACATTAATTTAACTTTACTTCTTTGATTTAGTTTTCATTGTAGACCTATAAAATATGCTAGGGAGACAAAGGCATCTACTTATTTGAGAGGTCAAGATTAAGAATTTTGAAGAAATTTGACTTGTAGAGCCCACAAAAGTTCATTTATGAGGAATCTTAAAACTGCTAACAAAGGGACTGTCCATCACTCCTGCTACAGTTAGATTTCTGAACTAAGGTGACAGCAGGTAGTCCAGGCACTAGGTTAGAATAGGTCCCTTCAAGGTAGATGAGTATATTAGTGCACTTTAAAATGAGGTTCTGAAGATTGGTGCCTTAGTGAAGACTTCACCAATGGCCAAATGGAGACACGAGAAGGTGTCTCTTAGGATCAGGCATTGATCTAAGGCTCGTCATCAAGCATCTAGGAGCCTAAAATCTTTTGGGGTGATAAAGAACACTTAGCTCAGTTCTCCAACGCCACTCAGAGTCATGCAAATCAATGCCTGATTTAAATCGAGTGTGTCATATGGCACACTCCAACTTATCACCAAGATGCATATGGTGCGGGGAAGTTATATTCAATTTTCTGCTCCAAGAGGTTGCTTCACTGTATAATAAAAGCATTTTGGGGGGTGTGGACTCCACAATTAAAAAAAATATCATAAAGGAAAAAGGAAGATATAAAGAAAATGCCTTAGACATGTTCTAATCTACAAAATGCAGCAATTTGCATTGGATTTCCCAGTCACAAAAGCAAATTAGCTGGTTCTGCTGTAACAAGGCTTAATTTAACTAATAAGAATCAACATACTGGTTTCACTTGACAGTCGTAACCCCTGAAAGTGATCAATTAAGGCATCACAATCTGTTTCATGACAACATATCGGGATGCTGCAGCTGTGCAGATTATGAGGTCACCAGCTGACTAGCAACTTGAGGGCAAACAATGGGAACAACAGCCTCTTATTTAAGTAACAAATATGTAATTGGGCAGAGTGCTATGAATGCAATGCCTTTGGGGGTAGATGATCATTTTTAAATTGCCTCTTTCTTTCATCCTAATCATTTGGCTGTATTGTCACCATGGCCAGAGTCTTAGGAGGGCATTGTCACATGGCCCTTCTGCTTAGTCACAGTCCTGCCTAGCTGTCTGACTTTCTGAATGAGGTACCAGGAAACATGTGTGCACACGGTGACTGCTCTATTTACCACTTGGTTGCAAGAACCATCCTTACAGTATGATAGGAGTGCAGGGTGAGATGAGTGAAACATTCTTCATCATAATAGAAGCTTCAGGTGACACAAAGAGCTTGCTTGCTAAGGCCCAAAGGACTCATTTTTACCTTTGAAGGCACCTTCAAACTACAGTAAGCTATAATAAAAAGAAAGAAATACCTAGTCACAAATGGACAGTTTGATCCAAGAGCTGTTCTTATCTGGTTATCCGAGGTCCTTTTATTGGCTTTATCCCTGCATCTTGTGATCTCAACTTTCTTGTTAAAATGCACTGCTGTTTCCTGAGCTCATTTATACTATTTGATGTGGGGTACTTGTTTGAAAACTTATTGCATATGCCTCCACTTGCTCAGTTCCTACCTCAGCAATCAGTTTCTTTCTAGGTTTTCTGAGACCTTTGGAGAGAATTGTCTGGTTCTACTTTATCAAGTCCTCTCTTTATTCTGAATTCTCTTTTTCTGTTGATTTGTCCCTATTTCTATGTATGTGTTGTTGTTGTTGTTTTTTCATTACAAACAACTTGACCTCTTTATCTTTTTCTCTTGTACACTCAAAATATCATCAAGCCAAATACTTTGGTTAGGCTTGGGCTGTGTCTATACACTGAGATCCCTACAAATATACAGCCAAGCCTGTATGAGCTACCGTGTCCCTGCTGAAAGAAAGACCACAAATGTAAAAAACTTCCTATTATTTGAAATCTAAGATATTGATTTTTATAATAATATCCCTATATTTGACTTGGGTATTTTCTCTCTCTGCAAAAGAATACTAGGTCTTGCTTACATATCTGGTTATAAACACTCAGCTTGGAGAAAATTAAGATTTTGATGACATCTATTAAAAAACTAAGAAATTTTTTACTTAGTATCTAATCTGTGCAAAGTGAAGGGTAACATAATTTTAAATTCCTAATCAGTGTGAGATTAACCTCAGTATATGATCAACTAAGATTCAGTTCATATACTATTTCAAAGGCGGAAGAGATTGCCTTGAAAATCAAGGTTTTTTTCCTCTACTAAAATGAATCTTGACATTTCCTTCCTTACAAAAAATAAAAATTTAATTTCTGTCTGTAGCACAGGTAGAGCATGGAAGAGAGAGGAAGGGAAGCAACAGTTAGATAAAGATGTATAAGTATAGGGTATGATATTCATTTATATAAACACTAGAGGCCCGGTGCACAAAAATTTGTGCACTTGGGGGGTAGGGGGGGTCCCTCAGCCTGGCCTGTGCCTTCTCGCAGTCTGGGATGCCTCGGGGGATGACCACCTGCTGGCTTAGGCCTGCTCCCTGGGGGATTGGGCCTAAGCTGGCAATCAGACATCCCTCTGGAAGCCCGGCAGCCCTCGGGGGATGTCCACTTGCCAGCGGGGAGCAGACCTAAGCTGCAGTCAGACATCCTTAGCGCTGCTGAGGAGGCAGGAGAGGCTCCCACCACCACTGGCAGCCATTAGCCTGGCTTGTGGCTGAGCAGAGCTTCCCCATGTGGGAGAGCACTGACCACCAGAGGGCAGCTCCTGCATTGAGCGTCTGCCCCCTGCTTGTCAGTGTATGTCATAATGACCAGTCATTCCCAGTCTTTCTGTTGTTAGGGTCAGTTTGAATATTACCCTTTTACTATATAGGATAGAGGCCTGGTGGATGGGTGGGGGCTGGCTGGTATGCCCTGAAGGGTGTCCTGGATCAGGGTGGGGGTCCTGCTTGGGTGCCTGACCAGCCTGGGTGAGGGGCAGGTGGCTGTTTTCAGGCTGGCCACACCCCCTTCATGGTGGGGGTCCCCACTGGGGTGCCTGTCCAGCCTGGGTGAGGGGCTGAGGGCCATTTTCAGGCTGGCCGGTGACTGAAGCTCCCAGCCTCTCCTTTTTTTTTTTTTTTTTATTCTGGGATTTATTTACCTTCTATAATTGAAACTTCGTTGCTGTCACTGGAGGTGAGAGCCGGCTCCAGCTCTGAGGCCACGGCCTGCTGAAAGCAGGTATCTGGGGTTTGTTTAGCTTCTATAATTGAAACTTTGTTGCTGTCACTGGAGCTGAGAGCCAGCTCCAGCTCCATGGCCACCGCCGGCTGAAAGTAGGTATCCGGGTTTGTTTAGCTTCTATAATTTAAACTTTGTTGCTTTCGGAGCTTAGAGCCGGACTGCGGCAGGTGGGGAACCTTGGCTTCTTTCATCACTGGAGCAAGCAAGCCTCCTGCTCGCTTCAGCTGCATGGCTGCCGGCTGCCATCTTGGTTGGCAGTTAATTTGCATATCACCCTGATTAGCCAATGGGAAGCATAGCGAAGGTACGGTCAATTACCCTTTTTGTCTTTTATTAGATAGGATGATTAAGCACTTAATATGAGCCAGTCATCCTATCTAGCACTTTTTCACATTATTCCACTCAATTCTCATAAT